ATTATTAATTAAATTAAATAAATAAATAATATATATAATTATAATTAATATATATATATATATATATATATATATATATATATATATATAAATATAATCAAGAAAATTTTAATTCTTTCTTAAAATTTTATTTTTCAGAACATTTAAATATAAAATTTTAAATATAGATTATTAAAATATTTTTTTATTTTTTCTTATTTCAAATCAACTTTGATAAATCGAACACATTAACTCTTCCTTCAGTATAAGAAGCAGACAATAAATAAAGAGTTGAATCATTAACTTAAACAAAATCTAATTTATTTAAAAAGAATCCTTCAGTAACAGCATTTTTGCAAATCATAATTTAGTTAAACTAATTATCAAAAACACTTACATCAACTCCATCACAGACAGCATAGAAAATTTTTTCTTCAAAATTATGAATAGCACTTGAAGTAGCAAAACTTGATTTTCCATCAAAGAGTGCTTTTTATTCTTGTTCTCCTTTAAATTATTTAATTACTTTAGGATCTTAATCACTATCAAATCTATTTAAATAACAAAAATATATATTTATATATTAATATATAAATTTATATTTATATTTAAAAGAAAAATACCTAAAATCAATATTCCAAAATTTCAAAGATTTTTCATTTTAAGAAATAGTGGTGACTTTTTAATCAAAATTATCCGCATTAACAAAAGAAATAGATGCTCCATGGCTAAAAGTAAAAGCTTTAGTAATCTATTTAAAGTCTTTTTTTTTATCATTTATAAAGACTAAAGCTTTATAATTAGAAGTCCAACTACCAAAGAAATAATACTATTTAAGTTAAGAAAACTTAGCCATATAATGTGTATTATATCCAGTATTATATTATTCTAATAATTATCCATTTAAATTCCAGATTTTAACAAAAGTATCAGATTTACTTCCACAAGTAATTAAATATTTACTATTTGCATCAAATTAAATTGAAATAATATTATCTTTATGCAGATTAACACCGAATTTTTTCCATAATGAAGATCTTTTTTTCACATCAGGATTATTAAAATCTAAAGCTCTTATTTCAATAGATATATCGTTTTCAAGTGAATAAGCAATATACTTAGAATCATTCGAAATACAAACAGAAGTAGGATATCCGTATTCTAAATTGAAGAAGTAGAAAGGGCCTTTATCGAACTCTTTAAACTTAAAAGTTTTTACTGATTAGTCTTTTGAACTTATAACAAGATATTCAGAGTTGTAATTATAATCTGTAATTTCATCCTAAAATCCTTTCAATGATGTAAAAAATAATTCATGTTTTATAATTACATGTTATATTTTATGACCATGTAATACATGATCATTTAATTTTTCTATTGTTTTATTAATTGTTTTAATGATTACTATGGTTATTATTATGGTTTTTATTATTAATTTTGATTTTCATCATTTGATTCTTTTTATTATTATTATTATTATTCAGATTAATTTTTACTTTTTCCTTATTTCCCTTTCTTTTTAGAGTCTTTTTATTATGGGGTAGGTTGTACTTATTATTTAGTAGCTTTTCTAATATTTAAAATAAATAATGAAGCTATAACAATTAATAATGTAATTATTATAAATATATCCATTATAAAATAAAAATCTATTCAATATAATATTTTATTAATATAGTTAGAAGAAATAAAAATATATATTGATGATAATAATATATTAATATTTTAATTATTTGTTATTCTTTATATATTAATTAACTAATTTTTTTTTAATATAAGTATTTTATTAAAGAACATATTTTTTCTATATATTTTCTTTCAAATATTATTATATATTAATAAAATGCTGAATTTTAAAAGTTTAAAAACAGTTTTCATAACAAAAATATAAATTAAGTAGCCCAATATATATAATTCTCAAACAAGGTAATAAAAAATTAAATAAAAATTTACATTTAATCTAATATTAAATATCTATAATTTATTTTAAATATTAAAAAGTTATAATAAATAAGTATTTTTTTAATTATTATATATTTTTGTATTTTAATAAATATTTATATTTAGTCTAAATAAAATTTTAATTTTAAATTAAATTAAACTTTATGATTTAATTGAATTTTAAAACTATAATTAAATTCGAAACTTAATAAATTTCTTAATACATAAATGTAAATATTTAAAAAATAATAACAAAATAAAAGTAATCAAGCATTTATTTTTAAATATAGTATATATGTGTTATATAAATATTATTATTTAAAATACACTTATTTTTTTATATTATATATAATAATATTAATTCATTTATTAACAAATTTTATATATATTTATTTTTAAAAAAAATTATTAAAATTATTCTTTTTATATAATTAATATATAATACCATTTTTTTTTAATATTTTGTTTTTGTTAATATATTTTAATACCTTAAATTATGAATTTATTTAATGCTATTTTTATATAAATAATTTAAATAAATATTTAATTCGCTTATATATTTTTGTTAATATAATAAGTATTAATTTCATTAATTATATGTTTAGTACAATATAGTAATATTCGAAAAAACATTAAACTAAATTATTAAATCTTTTTAAAGAACTAATTTCTTTGCATTTCTTTTTATAATAAATTGTGTTATTATAAGTTTTTACTAACTTAGTAATATTATTGTTAAACAAATTTTAGTTTCTTTGCAATATTTCTATTTATATCAATTTAAGTAATTTTATTAATTTTTATAAGTAAATTTTGAAGATTAATTATTCTATATACTAAGACTATATCTTATATTTAAATATAATTTTACTGCTTTTTTAATAAACAATTATAATTTAAAAAAAATTATTAAGTAAATAATCAAATAATTTTTAAAATTACATCTTTTAAAATAATATATAATTTAAAATTATTATATTTTATAATATTTTTAAATATTTAAATTATTTTATTTATTCAAACAATAATATTTAATTTTTTTTTTTTTATTAGAAATATATATAGTATTTTGAATTGTATTGAAATAATCATAAATAGTTTACAAAATGAGGTAAAAAAACTCTAAATTTCTTAGAATATTTAAATAAAATATATATAAATAAAGCAAACAATATAATTAAAACAAAAAAAATGAAAATTAAATAAGTAATAATTTTTATATAAATTCTAAACATGAGAATTAATAAAATTAAGAATTTAAAGAAAACGATACAAACGATATAATAGAACTTAAAAACAGAATGAAAATAATAATGAATAAATTAAATCGAGTAAAAAGGAAAAAGAAGATCTTGCCCAATAAAATAAATCTTTATAGGAAGAATGTATATCATTATAATCTAATCTAAGATAAATGATATAAGGTTTTTAAAATAATACATCTTCTCAATTTCCTATGTAAAACGAACTAACAATATAAATAGCAGAATTTTACAAATATGATTGTTTGGAAATTTTTTTCGATTTACTTTGCCAAGAATTAAACATGAAAGGAATCGTATATTTTTATAAATTAGCATTTTCGAATTTAACAGAAATAATTTATTAATATCTTTCTCCTGTTGAAGAATCTATTAAATAAGTTGGATGCTTTGAAAATCTTGAAGGACCAATATTAAATGTTCTTAGGAAAAGTTATTAGCAGAATTATAATTAAGTAATGAAAAAATGCCTTACTAATTAAAAAATATAAACGGTAGTGGATTAAGTTTAATAAAATTTAAAATTAGGAGGTTAAAATTAAGATATATATTAAATAATATACTCTTTTTATTAAAAAATGGGAGAAATTATTTTCTATACAATAATTTCAGACCCTCCTTTGTATGTTAATTGTAAAGGTATTGGATAAAAGGTATAGTATAATTATCTTAAACATGATCCTTTTGATGGATTTATTAAACCAAAAGAAGAATGTATTATTATTTTGCCTTCAATACATAAAGGAAGTAATTAGAATGGTGATATTGTGGCAAAAGCATTAGTTTTGTAAACCAATTATGAAATTGAAGGATGAAAATTTCTTTAAAAAAAAAGAAAAAATTATAAATGAAATTACTTTTTTTGTTAATTAATTAATATATTGATACTTTTGTTTACTGTTGTTTTTTATTAAAAAATTAATAAAAATATAAAAAAAAATATGAAATAAAAATTTAGATTTTAAAATAATTATATTCGAATAAATTTAAATAATTTTTTTTTTTTATTTTTTTTTTGTAAAATATCTTCATATATTATATTACATTTATAAACAATTAATTTTTAATTATATTTTTTAAAATGTTTTTGATTTTTTGTTTAATTTTTATATATTATTATTTATTTATTTTTAAAATAACAAATCTATATTTTTGGTACATCATATGTATAAAAATAATATTTCTAAATATAAAAATTTTTTAAAATAAATATAATTTATATTTATAAATATAAATTATTTGATTATTTTTATTTATTTGAATTAAAAAATGAATTATAATCGAAATAATTAGATAAATTTCGATTATAAATTACTAAAACTTAAGATTAATATAATTTTAAAGTTTATAAAAGCTAATTAAATTAAAAAAAGACGATATTCCAAATGAAATTTTTTTTAAAATTAAGAAAAATAGTAATATATTAATTAATTAATACATTAAATAAAAACTTTATATAAAAAACATATTTTTTTTTTTATACATATAAAAATAAATATTTATAAAATGAAATTTATCAAAAATTAAATTTTATTTTAATTTTAATTTTCTCAATTAAAAAAAAATATTTAATATATTAACTAATTAATTATCTTAGCAATATGGGCAGTGGGAACTAGAAATTAAATAAAAAGCAAGAATTTTAATAAAAATTAAATTAAAGTTCAACTCTTTAGGAAGAGATAAGTTAAGAATCACCATTAGCTCGTTTTTACAAGCGATAAACAGAAGATATAGTAAACATTTTTATGAGTAATTACAAACAAATACTAAGACATATTATAATTATTTGTTTTTTATGTTTATATAAAAATAAAATTAAATAAAATAATTATAAAAACATAATAGAAAATGAAGATTATGATTTATATTAAAGACTCGAATTATATATATCATGTGAAAATTTACCAAATTTAGATATAACTTCAAAAACAGATCCTTTAGTGATATGCTATGTAATATAAGAGTAATATAATTTTTTTAATAAGAAAAAAAAAAAAAAAAAAAAAACTAAAAAGTTTTTATATAAATACCAAAATAATTAAAAAAGCAAAAATGAAATAGAGCGTCATAGAACAGAAGTTATTGCAAATGAATTAAATCCTAAATTTGCTAGAGCATTTTTTATTTAACATACATTCAATAAAAATTTTAAAGTATTATAAAAAATAAACTTTAATAATAAAAATATTTTTTGTTTTATATTTAAAGCTTAAATTTGTTGTTTATAATGTAGATGCTTATGATGAAAATAACGAAGAACATATTATGGAAGAAATAGGAGAAGTTTAATGCGAAATTAATGATATTATTCAAGGAAATAGTAAACATGAATAACTGTTTACTTGCGCTATATAAAAAAAGAAAAATAATAAAATTAATAATAGTATGAATAATAATAATTTTACTCCGATAAAAAACAAAATAAATAAAAATAAAATATTATATACAATTCGTCATAAAATAACTAAACAAAAAAACAAAAATTTGACTATGGAAAAATGAAAATAAAAGGTAAAATAAAAAACATAAAGAAAAATATATAAGTAAAAATTAAATTTTATTATTAAACAAAAAAACAAAAAAGTATATAATTGTGATTAAGACTCAGATAATTATAGTTTTAAAATAGAAGGAATGAATTTTAAAAGTAAAAAATACATATTTTTAAGGGTTAGTACATTTAAATAAAGATTGAAGAAGATTAAGATAATGATGATTGGATGCCTATATATTAATCAGCTTTTATTAAGAATTAAAAAGTAGTGGATTTTGAAAAATTTATTATTGAAGATAAAAAAATAAATCATAATATTTTAAAATTTTAAGTTTACGAGTTTAATATAAGTAATATAAAAAAAGAACTAATAGGAGAAATAGAGATACACAAAAATTAATTATTAATATAAAATGAACCTTTTAAAATTTATAACAAAAAAAATATAACTGGACTTCTTAAATTTAATTAAGTTAATAAATAAATGCATTAATTTAATTTTTTAGATTACGTTTTTGGAGGAACTAAAATATAATTTATTATTGGTATTGACTTTACTTAAATGCCTAATAATATTTATGAAACAGACACTGAATATTAAGAAGGTTTAATTATTTTTATGAAATATTAAATTATTGTTTTATAATAAATTAAGATTTAAAAAAATTAAAAAATGAGTATGTTTAAGCTCTTAAATTAATTAGTTCTTTTATATAATACTATCAGATAAGTTAATATATACCTGTTTATGGAATTGGTGCTAGATTATAACCTTCTTATACTTTTTATAGTAATTGTTTTGCAATTTCTGGGCATTTTTTTGACCCTAAAATAGATATTAGTAATTCTGAAAAGTTAGTTTAAGGTAAAAAGCAATTTTTTAATATATATATATTTGCATTTATGTATATTTAATAAGATTTAATAATTAAGCCTATTTGAATACTTTCAAGAAAATAAAGCAGTCTGGTACATTGATTTTCTCAGATATTTTGAAATTACATTAAGAATATTCTAAAAATTATTAATTTACTTAAGAAAAGTAATATTCATTTTTTTTTATTTTAATTTTTTTTTTTTTTTTATTTCAGATAAAATTATTTTGTTCTAATACTTTTATCTCATAATGAATTGCTTTAATCTGATATTGAAGAAACTAAAGCTAATTTATTTTATGGATGTGAAAATAATGTTTCAGTAATTAATATTGGAATAGGCAAAGGAGATTTTCAATACACCTCTGAACTTAAATAAGATTCAGAAGGGTACTTAACCAATGATTCACTTAAAACAAACAAACTTGTATATAGCTTTTTTAAATTTGAGGAATATAATGATGCTTAGAAGGGATTTTACATAAAATTAGCAAGTGATTTACCAAAATAATTTTTAGAATATGCTAGATTTTAAAATGTAAGACCAAAACAAATGTATTAAAAGTAAAAAAAATATTTAAATTTGTTAATAAATATATAAAATTTTATTATTTATTAAAAAATTAGTTTAAAAATTGCTTAAGATTTATATAATTAAACTAAATAAAAAATAGAATATAAATAAAATTTAAGAATGTTTGAATGGTTATGGCTAAAGGAAAAATAATTTTATTTAGATTTAGTTGATAGATTAAAGTATTAAAAAGAAATTATATTGAGTATTTTTATTTTTATTTGGTTTTAATTATTTTAATCATAAAAATTAAATAGATATATTTGAAAATGGAATAGAATAACCTGATTTAAACCTTATTTAAGATAAAATGAGTTTATTAAAAAACTATAATTAATAAAACTAAATAAACAAAGATTTATATGGATTAAAAAATTTAGAAGAATACATCTTATAAGTAAATAATATAAAAAAAAAATTCTTATTATATATATAAAATTAAAGTCGAAAAAATATTATAGATTAACTTATAAATATAAAGCACATACTAAAAAATAAGAAAATAAAAGTTTAAACATGAAATTAAATAACTAAGATAATTTTACACCTTTTAGCTTTTTTTATAAAAATAGAAATATTATAATAGATGAGAAATATTAAAATTCCAATAATCAGTAGTTATCCCCTAAAAATAGTATAATAGATAATAATATTTTAATAAGTACATTTATGAGAACAATTGATAATTCTATAAATCATGAATAATTTGGCCATTCACCTTTAAGTATATTTATATATATATACTTATTTTATATAATTTTTGAGTTATTTATATTTTTATTTAAAAATAAAAAAGGGCTAAGTTAAAAAAAAAAAGCTTATTTATCTAATAAATAGAAATAATCAACTGATAGAAAATAAGAGGAAAAAATTAAAGAGATCATTATTGACGATATATATATAAATAAGATAACAAGTATTAAAATACAGAATACAAATACCAAAAATTTATGTATTTTTTGTCGAATTAATAAAATCGATATTGTAAATTAAAAAGTTTTATTTATATTTATTTTTGTAAATTTAATAAAAATTAAAAAGGTTCTCATGCCTTGTGGACATACAAACTGTTGTAGTAATTGTTATTTCAATTAAGAGGTTGAATAATGCCTTACTTGCAATTAAACAGTTAAATAAATTGTAAATATTTTATTATCATTATTATTTAAATATATAAATATTATAATTAGTTTAAATATGCTTAAAGACAAAATTTATTATGATAAAAAAAAAATTATTGAATAAAATAAGTACTTATTTTTGTGATTAATATTTGTTTTATAAATATTATATTATAAACATTCCTTTTTTTAAAAAATGATAATATTAATATTGTTATTAAAAATTATAATTATTATTATAACCAATAAATTATATAAAAAGATTAAAACTTTATAATATATATATATAAAATATGTACTTTTTTTTTGACAAATTTTTACTTTTAATATTATTAATTAATATTTTAATTGTTTTATATAATTATATTTAATTATAAATAAAATATAAGATATAATGAAGAAAAAAAGGTTTTTTCCGCACCTCAAACTTTCTGAATTTACTTATACTTACTGACTTTTTTTTATGAAAATTTTAACTAAAATTTTAGCTTTTTAAATATTCTTGTTTTGTTAAAGTTATATTAATAAGATAAGGAAATAATACAATTCTGTTTTATTTAAGTAAATTATTTATAGTTTATAATTAATTAATTTTTCTATTAACTAAATCGTAGATAATTATATTAGATTAATTAAATAAGTTTAGCTTTTTAAAAACTTATAAAAATTCATGTTATTGAGTGTAAATTTGATTAGAATAATTAAATTTGATATAAGAATTAAAATATGTATTATCATAAGTTTATTTTAATAATATTCTTGGCTTTTTAAATAAATTTAATTTTTGAAATCAATGAAAAACTAATAAAAATATCAATAATTAATTATTAAATAAACAATAGAATTTTTAAGACTATTTTTTAGTCAAATTACTAAATTATTTTTTAATCAAAAATATAATAATATAGTCAATTAAATAATTTAAATATATATTTGTTGAACTTTAGATGATTTTATTATATACTTTTATTTTATTAAGTATAGCTATCGTTAAAAAAATAATTACTAAAATATTAGAGTTGAACTAGTTCTTTTACTAACTTATTAATATATAATTACAAAAATTATAAACTTCTTCAAGATATTTTTTTAAAAATCATATGAAAAATTTGTTAAAATATTACTAAGGACACAAACATTAGATTACAATTAATTAAAATTAACATTATATTTAATATTCAAAATATTTATATCGTAAAATTATAAATAATTTGTAGCACTTATTATAATTATATATTCAAAGGCAAAAATTATTTTTTTAAGTGAAATTTTTATAAAAAAAATATTTTCGTAAAATTTTTAATCTTCATCCTAATATAGTTATTAAAAATTATTTTATTAATTTTAAGCTTATTAAAAAAAAAATATAATTAAAGTTTTCTTTTATCTTAAGAGAACATTGAGTTATTAATAATTTTTTCCTTCTTTTAATTAAATTTTGTTGTTAGAGTTTTATTTTATATAGATTTTTTATATAGAAAAGATTTTTATTGTTTATATAATTTGTCTTCTTAAAATAAAAAAAAATAAAAATATACAAATTTTATAATATTTATGTATGAAATTTTCTTAAATTAATTGTTAATCATTATAAACACAAAATTATAAGTAATATATTATATAAAAAAAAAATGAAGTAATTAAAACTAATCACTAAAAATAAATAAAAAGAAATAATTTTATATAACAAAATAAAAAAATTAGAAAAAAAAAAAATATGTATGTTTATATATATATATATATATATATATATAAATATAAATATATTTATATATATATTTTTATTTTATTTTTATGCATATATAAAATAAATTATACACATATAATATATAATATATTTTTATATATATATTTTTTTTTTATTTTAAAACATTTTATTTATTATATATTTTTTTTTTTTTTTTTAAGTTACATAATTAAATAAAAAAAATAACAAATATATATTAATTATTATTTTTTATACGTATATAAAAAATTTTAAAATATTATTTTTTTTTAATATGTGTTTTTTTTAAAATATATATTTTTTAGATTTATAATATTTTCTTTTAATTAAATAAATGAATTATCACTATTTTTTATAATATTTTTATTTTGTTATATATTATTTTTTTATTTATTTTATCATTTATATTATCTTTTGTTTTAGGAAAAATTTCTATAATATTTTTTACATTTCTAAATTTGTAATTACTGTATTATAAATCTAAATTAATTTTATTAATAAATAAATAAAATTATTTTAAACATAGAAACTTAAAATTATAAATATTTATAAAAAATGTATTAAAATATTTATTAATATGTAGAATTTTTAATTTTTGAATTTATTTTTATTTCTGCTTAAAAAAAAATATAAAAAAATTATATTATTTATTATTATATTGTTAGATTTTTTTAATTTAATGTATAAACATTTTATTATATCACATTAATCTTATTTTTATTTATTTTATATATCTAAATAATTTTTGCATTTATTTTAAAATATATTATTTTTATATATTCATTTAGATAACTTGTATATTTTAAACTTCTTTTTTTAATTTATCATTATATAAATATAAACATAAACAAAAAATTAATATTTATTATAATAAAATAAAAATCATATTAAAATATAAAAATGAATTAAATTCATTATTATAGAGTATTTGATTTTTATTAATATATAAAATATAATTAAATAGTATTTATAGAATATTTAACAAATTATATAATTTAATAAAAATCTATTTTAAAAATTTATATATAAATTAATATTACAAATTATAAAAGAATTATATTTCTATTCCAAAATACATAAATATATCAAAAATAAAAAAATTTTTATAAAAAAAAAATAAATTATATATAAATTTGTATTAAATATAAAAATATATAAAATAATAATATATGATATTTATTTAAATAAAAATAAATTTTAAATATATATACTATAATAATATTAATTTTTTTATTAAATATTTAATAATATATATATATAATTAATTTTATATTTATATATGTATTAATATATATATATATTATAATACTTTATACTATATGCATTTTATTTATTTCATTCATTTAAATTTTATTTATTTATCTTTATTTCTTTCCAAATATTTATATTATTTTATAAATTAAATTTTGAATCTGATATAAATTTTAAATTCAATACTCATTAATAGTTTCATTTATACGAATTTAATATTTAAATAATATATTGTTTTATGTTTTTATTAAATTATAATAAATATTTTTAATAATTATTTTTTTATTTTAATTAAAAAATCTTTTTGAATTTGCATTTTGTATCTAAAAAATAGCTGTATATTGTATTCTGTATTAAATTATATATTAAATAAAAAAGCTAAAATTAAGAATAAATTAATTTATTATTTATTGTCTTTTTTAATTTAAATATTTTTTAAAAGCAAAATTTAAAAGATAAAGGATTACTTAAATAAGTCTCCATTATGAATGCATAATTAAAATAATTTTAAAACTTTTTTTATTTATTATTAATTACATAATTAAAATTTATAATAATTAATTTATGATAGTGAATTGATTAAAATTTCTATAATAATAAAAAAGATAATAATTAATATAATATTAATTAGTGATTTATAAATAGTATCTACAAGAAATTAAGATTTTATATTAACATGATATTTTTTTGAAAATCAAGTAAAGAACCTTATCGTAGAATACAATTTTCATCTAAAATAAACAATTAAATTTAAGTAAAAAGAAGACATTGCAAAAAAGTTTTAATTTAATCTAAAATCTAATTGATTTTATATTATATATTTTCAGGAATATTTAGATATTTTATTCATTCTAAATTTTATATTAATACGTTTTTAAATTAAAAATATTTATTTCATTGATATAAAAACAATTAAATACTAAATTTAAAGAAAAAATCTTTATTTTAATAAAAAATTATTTTACATTAACATTTTAATTTTATTAAATTAATAAATATTAATTTATATATATTTAATAAAAATTAGATATAAAAAAATAAAAACGTGGATTGATTATTATGTTGTCTAAAACTATTTATATTTTTATACTTTATAATAAATATAATAACCATTAAAATTTTTAATAATTCATATAAAAAGTAATTTAAATAAAAGAAAAATTATATATAAATAAATAATAAATAAAAATTATTTAAAAAAAGTAAAAAATAAAGATAAATGGCTTCACCTTCTCTTACGCTTTTAGGCTAAGTATTTATATCTGCAATTTTAATAGCGACTCCTTTATATATTCTAACATATGATAATACTGACAAAACATATTTACAACAAGGTATTCCAAATTAAAAGCTATAAGAAAATTTTATAAAGAACGTATTTTAAGTAAATGCAAAAATGGAAGACTTTGCTAAAGAAAACAAAAATTATTGTTTAAATGGTAAAGATAAAAAACTTCTTACTCCTTCTCAATAACACGAAGAATTTGTTAAAGGTAGAAAAATATAAAAATATACATATATTTAAATAATATACATATACATAAAAAATATACTTATATTTTTAAAATATACATATATTTAAAAAATATACATATATTTAAAAAATATACTATATTTAAAAAATACACATATATTTAAAAAATATACATATAATTAAAAATTAAAATTTATTAAATAGGACCATGTGCTCCAATAATATTTTTACCTGGAATATTGGGAACATAATTACACGTAGTAATAGATTGTGAAGTAATGTAAAGTGAAAACCCTGAAGCATTCTCAAGCTGTGGCTGGAATACATGTTCAAATTGGAACATATTATACAAAAGACCTCCAAAAGAATTCTAAGTATGGATCGGAAGTATTACTTCTCCTGCCTAGATAGTTTCATTAAGTGAAAAAAGTAAATGCTTTGGAAACCTTATTAACCTATCCTATAATAAGTAAACTAATAAATTTGAAAATTAAAAAGGATTTTATATTACCTGGGCAGGAAATACACCTGAAACTAAATCCTAAAGTAATTGTGGGGTATATGCAATTACTAATTTTATCAATATCCCAATGATAAATGTTGCTACCTGTGTTTCGGGAGGATATAGTCGTTTAGTTTATACATTAGAGGCTATGGGATATTAAAGTGGTCTTACTTTCTAAGCTATTCCTTTTGATTTTAGACTTACAGTATAGCAAAGTATTTTTTTTTATTTTAACAAAAGAAATAAATAAAAAATTAGGTGAAACATAAGTTATTATTCCAAAAGCAATTGATCATATGTATAAAATGACTGGTAAAAAATCAGTTATACTAGGTTATTCTTTAAGTACATTACATGTGGTTGAATCTATGACTAGTATGCCTTAATAAGAAAAAGATGAAAAAGTAAAGACTGTGCTTTTAATAGCACCTCCTTTAATGGGTGCTGATAAAACATTAATGAATCTATTAGGTGGTGATCCTTAATATTTGGTTTAACTTTTCGGATATAATGTTGGAATGAATTTCTTTACTTAATATAATTTTGTTTAAGCCTGTGCAAGTAGTTTAGATGCTTTACCTAGAAATGTATTCGAAAAGTATAATAAATATATATATATGTGCGTATTTTTATATTTATAAATTAAGATTTAAAAATGATGCTTGGATGAAAGAATTAATTGAAAGAATAAAATATGAAAAAAATAAATTGAGTATTGATTCTTTAGATAAGATTCCTTATGATTATATATTGCCCAATAAAGATGATGTTTGTATAGACTCTAATATATTTACTCATAGAAAAGGAACAGAAAAATGTATTACAGGAATTTATAATTAATTAGAAGAATATATATTAAAGGTAGACTAAAAAGAAATATATGCAACTTAAAAAGATATAGATGAAATTATTAGTAAATATTCAATTTATGATAATGAAGAATTAATGATTAAATATAAATAATCTTTAGAGTCTAAAGGAATAAATAATTTAATTAATCCTTAAGTTCCAATTGCTATAATATATGGATCATATTTAGAAGTAGAAAAATAACTTATATATAATCAAAATACAAAATAATTTTATAATGATTCTTAAACTTTCTATTTCCCTGATAAAATAAACAAAGTTTAAGGTGATGGAACTGTTCCTGCTTTTTCATCTATTATTCCTGGTTTAAAATGGGCATATGTATTTTTTATTTTATATATCCTTTATTTAAAATAAAAAAAAGGAATATGAAAATAAAATTATTAAAGATGCTAAACCAATTAAATTTATAGAATTTTGTTCTATAAATAAATAATCAAGTACCATTTATGACGGAGAAGATTAAAATAAAGAAAAAGTATTTAATAAAAATGCTTATTAAGGACTTACTTGTGAATGCTTAGAAGGTAGTAGATAATAATAATGCAACCATTCTTGTTTGAATACTGATAAATATATGGTTAAATTAATTGCTGATGCTATTAAAACTAATGAAAAATCTAAATTAAAAGAAATTAAGTTCACTGATGAAGAATTAATAAATATTTAATAAGAATGTCCTGTTTTGACAAAATGAATTATAAAATAAAATATTAATAATTATAACTATATTATTTATTATTTATTTTTTACAAATTTTATTTATAAAAATATTATTTTTTAATTAATTAAACAAAAACACAAAAATATTTAACTTAAGACTATCTATAAAATTTTAAAGATATTTTTTTATTTTAAAAATTACATAAACATTAATGTTAGGCTTGCTATCTTATCAAGTAATAAGTTTTAAAAATATTAATTAATTAATTCTTTTATTTTTCTTATTAAATAAAAAATACATAGCATTTATGAAAAAACTTAAACAGTTGATTATATAAGTTATTATTAATAAAGATATTATTTAATACATAATTTTAACTTTATAATATTGAAATAATCTATGCTTGTTTATTTTTTCTTTCTTAATAAAAAAGAGTTTGACTTCCTTAATTTTCTTACTAAATATATCTATTTTTTAAAAAATTATCCCTCAATTACGATATAAATATAAGTTCTCATTTTTTAAATACATAATTATGTAATTTAAATAAAAAATAAATAATTATTAATATAAAATTTGTTTTCTTTTAAATTAAAGCATAAAATTGGTTATAACATACTATTATTAAATATTAACATAATTATCACAAATGAAAGTCTCAAATATATATGTACTTTTAGTTATTATAATTACACATCTAGAAATTCATTTTATTAAAATGAATTCTTCAAAATGCTAATTTTAACTAAATTAGTCTAGAAATAAGATGTTCTGTTAATTATTTTAAGTTAGTTAAAGGAATATAAATACCTTCTTATCTTTAAATAATAACATATATAATTTTTATCTTGTAATATTTTTTTCTAAAAATTAAAAAAATTGTGATATTGGTTAAACTATTATTTTTAATATTTTTGTTAATATCGAAAATAAATAGATACCCTTAATTTAAATTATTTAGATAGAAATTTAAAACTTTTTTAAATCTTTAATATTTTGATATAAATAGACTATTTTTATAACTTAATCACATTTTGGGTTTTTCTAGTAAAATAAGCAACTGGATTTCTCTTACTATTGGAATATTGTTTGTTTGAAAATTATTAAATGGATTGAATTCTTTTATATTCTTTTTATATTAGTTTTAATGTTTTATTAGTTTAATTTATATTTTAGTTAGGTTTATTTATTTATTTTCTTATAATTTTTATTTGTCAGTTTACAGATTTTTATAAAAATAAAAATTTCATTAAATGATTTTTATTAACTTTATTTGTTTTTTTTTTTAAGAAAAAAAGTAAATAAATATTTGCATTTTAGTAATATTTTAATTGATTTTTAAATAAAAATTTCTATGTTTTATCACGTTTATATGATTTTATATTAAAAATGCATTTTATTTATTGCACAAAAAAAATATTTAGTAATTTTAAATACAAAATAATAAATATAATATAAAATAAATTTATAAATATATATTTTAAAATTTTAAATTTCAAAAACAATATATATTATAGATTAATAAAAAAAAGATAGCAAATGATAAAAGGTGTATCATAGCTATGTCTAAACTCTGAAAATTAAAAAAAACAGAGTCTTTTTTTGATAAAACAGATGTAATTAACAATAAAAATAAATTAATATTTATTTTTAATTATATAGTACTCTATATTTGTAGAGAATAATTTATAAAACAATCCTAAAATATATGCAGAGCAAATACTATTTGATAAAAAATATCTTAATTAAGATATAATAAATTGTAAAAACTAAATATAAGAAATAAGTTAAAAGTAAATACCAAAGAATATAAAAATAATTTTATTAAAAGGATTAAAGTATTATTATTATTTTTATTATAATTAAATAAAAAAAATATTTTTAAATTTAAGATAGAAACTTTAAGAAAATGTAAAAATATATCGAATGAATCATAACAATAAAGAAGCAAATAAATAAAATGAAAATTAATTATTAAATTATTCTTTTTTAAATGTAAGTTTAATAAATTTTAAGTTATTTTATTTATTTGAATAAAATAAAAGGAGAGTTTTACTTAAAATAAAGTATTTTCTTATAATTCAAGTAACTTATGCTAATAATTTAGTTTCATTAATAATTTTTAAAGTATAAATTAAATAATCAAATAATATATAGAAATTAGATAAAAATGCAAAGAAAGTAAAATTTTAGTTATATTTTTTTTTGTGTTTTTAACATATTTTTTTAATCAAGTAACTTTTAATCCAGAATAAACTGATAATTATTAATATTCGCAATAAATAGATCTTTAATATTAATAAAATTTGATTTGTGACGAAAAAATAACAATAAACTCTTAAATACAAATACAAAAAAATAAATTAGAAAACATAATATTTAATATTAAAACCCTTGAAAGTGAAGTTGAAAAATTTAAAACTATTATTTTATCCCTAAATTAGATTTTATCTAAAATTAATGAATAAATTGAAGAAAATAAATAATAAATTAATATAAATAATTAAACTTATGAGGTAAACTAAACATTTTTATTATTATTAAATATCAATTTATTTATTTAGTAATTAAAAGAAAAATTAAAAAGTAAAGAAATGTAATTGTAAATACTATAATAAAAGAAAAGTAAAATTCCATTTTTTTAAAATAAACTTTGTTTATAAAAAATAAATATTTTTGAACCTTGGTAATTTTAAAAAATATAGATATACAAATGAATTAAGTATAAAAAATGCTTTATGTTTATTTCTATAAAGTATAGAGTTTTAAATTAAAATTAAATATATATTTTAAGGAATATATAAACAAAATTAAATATAAAAGTTAACAAATAATATTATTAATTAAATATAAAACACAATCTAATAATTAATTTATTAATTAAAAAAATAATATCCTTTTAATATTATATTATATTATATTTAATTTTATTTTTATATAAATCTTATGATTTATAAATTAATATATATATTTAATATATTAATAAACTTACTATATTTAATCAATGTTTCTCAAATAATAAAATTGTACTGATAATCTTAATAAGTTTTTTAAAAATAATTATGTTAGGAATTAAAAGATTTTGCACTTTCATTTTTCTATGTGTATGTTCTCTATAATTTATTTTTAAATTTTATTAAATCTTCATTTAATTTAGTTTTATTAGATTAACTATACAAATTATATTTCTTTTTTTTATATTTTTAATGATTAAACAAACAAACAAAAGAAATATTATATTAATAATTACACTTTGAAATTCTGATTTAACATTAAAACTATATTATGATTACTTTTATTTTTATAATTCATATTATAACTAAGAAATAATTTCTTTATATTATTTTTCTCGTTATTCATAATTTTATTAAATATAATTTAATTTAAAGTTTAATTATTTAACTTGATATTATTAATTATTTTTGTATTCTTCTAGTTCTCTATTTTATAATTTCAAATTTTTTATATTCTATTAAAAAATATATATAAAATTATATAAATATATATTATATATATATTTATATATAATCAAATATTTTGTATAGTTTACTTATTTTAATTTTTTTATTTTTCATAATTTATTTTAAAAATTTTCATAAAAATATCTAAATATTTTAAATCATCTTTATTTATAAAATTATTATTTTCATCAATATGATTAACCTATTAATTCTTTTAACAATCATCGAAATATCTTATATAATTATTTATTTTAGAAATAAATTTTAGACTATTACTTTTAGGAAACTTATATTAACTTTAAGGATCAATAGTTGAACTAGTCATTGAATTTAATTTATTTTCTTTATATTATTGTGAATTTTTGTTATTTTACTTTATTAAATTATCGAAAATATTTTGCTATTTTTATAATGATTTTATAGGTAACTAACCGCTTTTTTATATTTATATTACATAAGAATTACTACTAGACCTTATTTATTATTTTATAATATTACTCATATAACATGGAGTAGAAATTTTTAAAATAGAACTCCTTGCTCTATTATGTAATTAATTATTCATTTTTTTAACATGTGCTTTCATCTTGTTTATATAATAGAAGTTATTTTTATCAAATTTTATTGAATTAAAGAATATTTTTTCAGGAGAATCTAAACATGATTCACTTTTTTGTTTTTATAATTATTGCTTTGTTAATTAACTTTATTATTTTATTTATTAGTTTTTTTGTAATTGATGCATATTCTAAATACTTTGAGTACTTTTCTTTTATCTTTTTATATTTATCAATTCTTAGATTTTTTATAATTTTTAATAATATTTATTTGATATACTTCCATAATTCAGAATGGGTTATTTCGATATTTTCATTTATTTTTTATGTATATTTGATTAAATATTTTTATTTATGTAAACTAATTATATATATGAATTTTATTATTATAAATATTTCTTTATATATAAAAATAATTTAAGAAATTTTATTAATAAAATACAATTCAATAAAAATTAAATTTAATAAAATTATATGGATTTAAATTATATTTTTATATTTATTTATTTATATTTTTTTTTATTTAAATTTAATTATAATTTAATCATTAATGTAAATAAAATTAAATTAAAAAGTTTATATTTTTTATTTATTTTATTTAAAAAGATAAAATAATAATATATATTTAAATTTAATTTAAACATTTAAAGAATAAATTATAAAATAAATATAAAAATCAAGATAAATGGTTTATAATTGTATAAAAATTAAAACACTTTTAAATATTATTTTTATTTACTAAAAAATTAAATAATTATTATAATAAATATATAATAATAATTAAAAAATAAAAATATCATTTCTTAATTATATTTTTTGCTTATTATTAATCATCTTATATAGCCTTACTATTAATAAGTTCATCTCTTTATGTTCTATAATTTTTTTCTTCTTCTTATTCGAATTTAGTAAATGATAAATCTTTTAAGTTTTTAGAAATATTTTTTAGCAATCTGCCATGTAAATAAGATTTAGAAGCATGTACATGATAATGAACATATTATCTTTTATTAAATATTTTTAGTAAAAAAATATAATTAGTTTACCTAAAGTTTGCTAAATAATTACAAATAATGTCAGTATTTCCAAAAATATGTGTTTTTTTAAAAAATGCTTAATTATTTCATAAAAAAAAAAAAAAAATTACAAAAATAAAATTACTAAAACTAATTAGCCCATTCAAATATTCTTCCTTTAAATTCTTCAATTCTGGAAATTTGTCAACTAAAATTTAAGGATATGTATAACTTTATATTCCACTTGTATTTCCTCTTAATTTTGAAACCGAAACTTCGCTTTATGTACTTCTTTACGATTAATCTAAAATCTTTTCTACTCTTTAAACACTTGGTGGATTTTTAACATGTCTATTACTTTCTACAAATTCCTATTTAAAATAATATATATTAATTTAGAAATAGGGTATATTTTTATTTTTAAAGGATAAATGATTTTAATTAAATAATATAAAAATTATAACTTAATTTTAATTAGAATCATAAATCCAATAAAAAAATTATATTTCTAAAAAAAATATTTACATCCAACATTAATTATGCAATTGTTCTATCTACAATATCTGTAAAGCTCAAAGCAAAATAAACACTTACAGAGTCAGCTTTTTTTATAAATAATTTTAGTAAATAAATATATTTAAAAATATAACTTAAGCCATCTTTTAAGCACCATACTCTTTCATTTGCCCTTAATTAATATTAAAAGTTTTATTCTAATTTATCATCTTTTTTTATTTATTCGAATATCTTTTCGAAAGGAGAAGAATAAAAATTAGTTCTAATTCTAGCAAAGTCTTTTGAGATTTTTTAAATTATTTCTTCATTTTTTTATTTGATTTATTTCTTTTCTTCATCTGTGTTGTTTTCTTTTATAAAAATAATTATATTAATAAAGTAAAATTTTTGATGTAAATACAAATATACAAAAAATTAAATATTTATATATTTAACTATATATATATATATTTATATATATATAATTTTTTTTTATTTATTTACTATTATTTTATTTTAAATTGTTTAAAGTAGCTTGAAATGTTATATCAAATCCTTTGTAAGGTTATTTTTATACTTCATAACCTAAATTAAATATATATATATATATATATTATTTTTATTATTATTATTTACTTTAGTAATATTTTTAAATGAATAAATCTCCACCTATTTTAAACACATCATTATAATTAGGTGCTCCAAAACTGAAATAAATACAATTTTCTTTATCACTAAGTTCGATGCAATATTTTACATTATCATAATCATGACACATAAACCTTCCGATTAAATAATTTCTTTATTTTTTTATGTTTTGTTTTTTTAATGCATTTATTATTTTTATTTTTACGATATTGTGTTTACTAATTCTTTTTTTATGATAGGATTAATAGGGTCAAGATTCATTTAAATCATTATTATTATATTTTATAAAATCTATTATATATTTTTTATTTATTTGTAATAAAATATTTTTTATTTATTTTTTAATATTTAATTAATTTAAAATTATAAATTCTTATTTAAGGCTTTTTTAATAAACAAAAAAATAGTAATAAATTGTTATTATTTTATTAAATATATTTTTATTTATTTTTTATATTTTATATTAAGTAAGTTTTTAAGATTATTTAAAATAAACAACAAGTTAATTCTGAAATAAAAAAATATATTAAATTATTATTATTATATATATATTTTTTAAAAATAATAATAATTAAATTTTTAAAATAATTATAAAATTTATAAATTTAAATTATCTTATAATTTTTATTTTTAAAAAAAAACAAAAATATAAATGGAAATTGAGTATATTTAAAATTTCTTAAAAAATATATACGATGTAGTATATACTAAATTAATTGAAATGGAAGAAGCAAGAGATAAAGAAAATTTAAATAATTATTTAAACAAAGAAGGAGATAAAGAAAATTTAAATAATCATTTAAACACTGTTCTTGATTTTTCGAATCTATTTAAAAAAAAAATACAAAAAAGCCTACTTTAACTTAAAATAACATCGAAAATAAATAAGATTAAAAAAAAGAAGTTAAAACAATAGAAATAACTAAATAGAGTCTTTAATTAAAAAATGAAATTCCTAAAAATCTTACCATTACCCAAGAAGAAATGCAACAAAGAAAATTTCTTGATTAAAAAAGATGGTTCTGTTTATCAAGGCCTTAATATTAACGTTCTTGTGGAATTAGTAGTTTAGTATTAAAAAAATAATATTACTTTTTTAAATTTTTTTTTCTGAGCTTTTTTTAAAAAAAAATACACAATCAATTTATTCGAAAAAAAAAAAGGCGATAAAAATGAATTATTGGTTTTTTTTTTTTTTTTAGATTAATTGAGTTTTTTTTTTTTAAACAAAAAATGAAAAAATGATGCTAAAAAAGCAATATATATAATTAATTTTTTTTTTATTAAAAAAATAAATAAAAAAGATGTCTTGTTGGAATTATTTATATTCGACTTTAGGTGTTGGAAACTTGCCTCCTATATCTGTAGAAGAGGCTTTATAAATATTAGGTATTGAATAAGAAGGTAAACTTTTCGCAGATACTGAATTTGGTTCATTTACAGGAAACGGAACTCTCATTAGGTGGTTTAAGCTTATTTGTAAACATTTTTAAGTTGATGGAACAGCTTTTATATTTTGGAAACTTTGTGGGGATAATGCTACTAATGGAGTTGATGAAAAAGAAGCTTTATCAAGATTAGAAGAAGTAACAAAAAATATTAACATATGTTTATTTATTTAATTAAAGGGATTAAGAAATGAAAATATGACATTTATATATCATGCTCATGATCATTATTTTTGTCCAGTTGGATATGAAATATGTCCTTAAAGACCAGTTGATGCTTATAATAAATTAGATGTATATATTTGTTTTTTTTTAATAATATTTATTTTTAATGTTTTTCTTTTTTTTTAAGGAAATCAATCAAAATGAATTAGATCATTGGATTTTTATAGGTGAACCTAGTAAAAGATACCCTGCTTTTCATATTAAATTATGGTCTGAAATTGTTAAAGATATATCTACTGGTAATCCTTATTATTATAATATTAGGCATCCTGAAAAAGGAATTATGGAAAGAAAAGGTGAAATTTATAAAACTAAAAAGGCAGGAACTAGTATTAATTGTATTATGGCCTTTTAAAAATTCATTAAAAAAAGCAAAAAAGTAAAAATTACTTAAGAAGCTAAAAATATTTAAGAAATTTAAAATGAATAAACAACTTTAGAATGAAAAATTAAATCTTTACTTTATTTTTAAAATATAATTTATATTATAAATTATTTTTTAAATTTTTATAAAAAAAAAATAATTAATTAAAAAAAAAAACTAAAATTAAAAAAACTAAAAAATTAACTTTTTAAGAAAAAATAATTATTAAAAAAAAGGAAAATTTCATAATATAATTAATTTATTATTTTAATCTTTTATGAATTTGTTATAATTATTAACTTTTGAGTTAAATGTACTGATTCTATATTCTTTATCGTTTCTAATTTATTTATAATTTTTTTTAAAAAAATTAGGCAATTAAATTTAAAAAATAATTCTTACTATAGATTTTTATTTATATTTTCAAATATTTATTCATATTCATCATAAGGTAATCTATTTTTATTTTATTCTCTTATTTAATTAATTGTACTATCTTTATCTTCAATTAATTTAAGGAATTCAACCACATTTTAAACCTAAAATTTATAAAAATAATCTTTATATTAACAATAAAATGAAAAATATAACTTGCATTTAAGGAGGAGTTTCTCCATCACTATCATCATCAGTTAACTAATCTTCATCTTATGGTTATTAAAGAGTACTAGAGAATAAATGATCTTAGAATTTAATTATTGAATTATCTGTAGGTAAATCTAAAAGTTTTTAATAATATCTACTCATTTCGCTTGTGTCATTATTTAATACATATTGAGTAAAATATCCAGGAGTGTTATATAAATAATCATTTTTTAAAATTTTAAAGTTAATATTAGAATTAATTAATGGATCCAAATTGTCATTTATTTAGTAATATTCAGATTTTAGAAAGTAAGCTTCATTACTTTCTGTATTTTAATTTAATTAAATATATGGACGCAAGCTATTGTGTGGAGTAATAAATGTATTAAGAGGTATATCAATATATTTAAAAAATGTTTTTGGTAAATTATTAATTTAATTAGAAAATTCATAATATTATTTAGCTATTTTAAATAAAAAATAAAAAAAAATAGATTTATAAAATATAAAATAAAAAAAATATATGTAAAACTAAAAAAAAATATAAATTAAAATATATATAAATATATATATATATATATATATATATATATATATATATATATATATATATATATAATGATTATATATAAATATTTGATATATTATATTAATACATTAATTTTTATTTATAAATTATATATATTTTTTTTTTTGTATTTTTTTTTTTATATTAATATTTATATAAAAATTTTATACTTATTCCCATTTTTCCTCTATCAAAGTATTCATTTTCTCCTCCTGTTCTTTATTCTCTTATAAATTCTATAGAAGGATAAATATGATAAGCCATAAAATTAATTTCTATATTATAATATAATTATATAAAATGAAAATATACTTTTTATAATTTACTTTCATATTTCATTAATTCTATATTATTTTTTTGAATAACATCATAATCATGCAAATCATCAAAATCTTTTCTTTCTTCTATTTTAAAGGCGTAATTATTAAAAGTATTAGAAGCATCATATTATATTGGGAATTTAATACAATGAACTATATTTATATTATTTGAAATTTAAAAAGAAATGTTTTCCTTTTTTCCAATTTATAAATATTCTGCTCTTTATTAATCTTAAGAAACCATTTTTTTAACTTCTTCTCTTGTTTTAAGATTCGAAAGTTTATTTTTTAATTTTTCTAATCTTTTATCAGCTCTAATTCTTAATATAATTTTAGTTCCTACACTCATAAATTTATTTAAGTTTATTTTTCTATTCTTCAAATCGTTATTTTTATCAAAATCCCATGTAGTTTAATATTAAGGAATTTTTTCGAAGTCTAATTAAGGTTAATCATTATTTAAAACTATTTCGAATCTATTTTGTCCTTCAATATTTATTCCATCAAGTATTTATTTTTAAAAATTATTCCTTTTTTCATAAATTTCTTCTATATCAACTTCTGTCATATCACAATCTCCAATACATTAAAAGAATTTGATTTCTTTATTTTTTTGCAGTAAATTTACTATACTACATTTATTTAAGAATTATTTTTCATAAGAAGATCTTGCTAATTCCTCAGTATTATTTAATAAAAAATTACTTTAAAATTCAGAACTCTAAATTTCTTATAATTCTTATTATTATTCTTAATTCTATATATCTTTATCTTATTCAATATTTTCTGTATTATAAGCTTTTTCTGAACTTTAATTGCATTTTATTTTGAAAGATTTTTTCCCTGAAGTTATATTAAAATTCTACTTTGTTTAGCTATTTTATATTTAATTACTTAAAGAACTATATGCAGAACCTATTCTTAGTTAAGGTTGAGAATCCAATTAGTTTTCCTTATTTTATTCACAAGTTTATTATTTATTTAACTTTTCTAAACGACTATTTGATTAAGGAAGTTTGCTAGTATTTATTTATTTCTTAGTTTTATTTTCAGCTGGATCTTTATATCTTGCTGATCCCATCAAACGTATTTTCAAAGGCTCGAAATCAAATTAGGAAACTTTAAGCTTTTATGTATTTTAGTTTATTTTATTTTTTTGTATAAATATAAAAATATAATATATAAAAATACTTCTGCTTCAGAAATTACTGTAACATTTGTTTAAGGAATATAAGTTATTTGAATATCTATTTTTCCTTCTCCAGGTATAATTCCTTTTAAAGGGTTTATTATTATTTCTGAATTTTATTTTGTATAAGAAAATTCAAATTCAAAATTTATTGGTATTTTGCAATATAACTGTGAAGTCTAATTTTTTTTTTTTTTTACATTTTTTACATTTTTTGTCTTCTTTTGTTTTTTTTTTTTTTTACAATTGTGCGTTATTCACCTATTTCTATAGTGCCAAAATCTATAAGTCTTGGAAATATATTTCTTAAATTTTCCCTATCTAATACTGGAAATGCATGTATTGGTACTAATAAATTTTCTGTTTCTGTATTTATTCGAAGAGTTTAATAATAATATCTTTTTTTTTTTATTTTATAAATTTAAATATTTTTTTTTTTAAAAAGTAACTTATATTCATAAGGTTTAAATTCAATTGATATTTCTTCAGACATTCCAGATGATATATAACCTTTTTTTTTAAATTAAATAGAAAAAATATCCGATTCAATAGGCAGAACATGTATTCTTTATTAAATTTAAGCTTTGTTTATAACTCTTATTTTAATTATGTTTATTTTATTTATTTCAAATCCAGCAAAATTAACTATTGGTGGCTCAGTTTATATATATTAATTTCCTTAATATTTAATGAAATCATCTTTATAAATATTTAACAATATATTTAATAGCTTTAGTAATATTTTTTTTTTTTTTAATTTACATTTTTAACCTAATGTGTCTTTATTTTAAATATATTTTTTTTTAAGTAATGTATATGGAATTTGTAATGGTTAATTTTCAGTCATATTTTTTAATAATTTTAAATAAGTGCTTTTGAATTAATTTTATTATTATTTTTTTTTATTTTTTTCAATAAATTTATTTTATTTTAAAAAAAAATTAATTTTTTTTTTTTTTTTAAATATTATAATTAAAATTGAACTGTTTTACAAAAAAATCTTTCATAAAATAAAAGGTATAAAGAATGATTAAAAAAATATTAAAATTTTTTGAAATATTTTTTTTAATAAATAAAAAAAAAACACTTTATTTATTATATTTAATAAAAGAACAATTTTTTTTTAAAAAAAAACTTACTAATAAAATATTTTTTGTAATAAATAAATAAAAAAGTAAAAGAATTTAAAAAATCAATTTTTTTATTTTAATTTTTTAACTATTACAGTTGATTTATTTTTTGCATCTTTATAAATTTTAAGTTCCTATATTTCAAAATTAATTTTAAAATATACTAATAAAAAATTACATCTTTACTTATTTATTAGAAGTCTCCTTTATTAAGAATTCTTTCAGCTTCATTATCACTTTTCTTTTTTACTTTTTTTTTTAAAAAATAAATAAATAAATAAAAAATAATATAAATACGAAATCAATTAAAAAAAATAAAAATAATAATACCTATATCAAGTATTTAAATTATGCTATTATAATCTTCTTTTTTATTTCCACTTGCTATAGAAGCAAAGCTTTCTTAGAAATGATTACTTACATCGACAACCTTTTTTTTTTATTTTATTAAAACATAAAATAAAATTCTAAAATACTTTTCCTTCACAATATAAAGACATGGTAATAATACTATCGATTCTTTTTTCTATATCTTTAAGGAAACAAATAAAAGTTTAATCATCCAAATCTCCTTTTTATATAGGGATATTGAACTTTTCAGCAATTTTAGTGAATTTAAAATTAATATTATGCATATCTTCTTGAAGTACTTTAACTTTTTCATCAAGTTATTCTCCTTTTTAAACCACAATATCCAAATCCTAGTTATTATCATAATTTTCTTTACTAAGAAGTGCCAAATCATTATTTTTTTAATATTTAGTAATTTAGGATTCCACCTATTTAATTTAATTTTTCAAAACGACAATTTCATCACTACTATTATTAGCCTCTTGATAAAGCAAATTATTTTCTTTTTCAATATTTTAAAATAAATATATAAGTTCATCAATATCTTCAATTCCAGTTTCTTTTTACAATTTTTAAAATAAAAACTAATATTATTATACTTCTTCCTAAAAATTCTAAAGATTAACTTTTTGATTATTTTTCGATTGTTTAGAATTATTCTTCACTATTTATAATTTACTCATATTATTTGTCTAATCAACATTATTTAGGAGTACTTCTGTATCAAATATACGTCTTCCATTTCCATATTCGTCATTTTGATTTTAATTCAATACTTATTCATATTCTATTTTAAACTATGCGTTTTGTTTTTGGGCCTTTTGTTTTATTTTCTTTAATTCTTCTTCATATACTTTTAATTTATTATCTATATGAATTTTCTCTATCATATATTTCTTAAATTCCTCGTCTTTTTATTTAATATCGCCTTCTAGTTTTTTGAAAACATTCGAAAATATTACCCTTTCACGACGAGCCATATTCACCTTTTCTTTAAGCATGTTTATTTAAGCTAGACTTTCGTTGTGTTTACCTCTTGTTTTTTCTAGTTTATATTCTAATTGTTTTAATTTAGTTTAAAGTTAAGGTAAAGCTACTCCGTTTGATTAATTCATTCTTTTTACATTGTCAGTTATATTATCTTATGCTATTTATATCAAAGTTTCTAAATCTCTCTTTTTTTATTTTAATAAATACATATATATAAATATATATATATATATATATATATTTATATATATATACATATTTACTTTCTTTTTTTATTGAATTTCTATCTGTTTTGCAAATAAAGTACTTGTTTCTTATATTTCCTCTATTCTTGTGTCTAATTATTAACCTGATAAATGATTTATTCGATTTTCAGTTTCCTTTTTTATTTTTATTTTGTAAATTTATGTTATTTTTGTTAGTTTATGTTATTTTGTTTATAATAGATTTAAATATTGAGAATATAATTATTTTTATTACAATTTCTTCTCTTAATTATTTATTTTCTTATTTCATAAATTCAATTTCTTCACTATATTTATTTTATAAATAATTTTAATATTTTTTATAAAATTTTATAATATTTATTTTAAATTTTATTTACATTGTCTTTGAAATTGAATCTTTATCATCCAACTCATTTTCTTTGAAATTATGTTTTTCTTTATTTTTTTTATTCATTGTAATACTATTTTAATTTTTTGATTAATCAAAACGAGACATTTTATTAATTTTATTATTTTAACTATTATATTTTTTTATATAAGTTATTTATTTATTTTTTTTGCAAGTTTTTTTTTTTTTATTTTTATTTTAAATAAAAAAGATTAAATAAAATTTAATTTGTTCATTTGATTTTTTTATAAATACCAAAAATAAAATATATTTTATTTTAAAATTTCATTCTTTATGAAAGTTTAAAATATATTCTTGTATCAATATTGTAAATATATTTATACAAATATTGTAAATGAAATTTATAATTAAAATTGTTTATATCTTTAAAATTTTTAAAATATGTATATTTTGTTAATTTATTAATAATATAAATTAATTTGTTAATTTAAAAATAATTGACACAAAAAAAAATTAAAATAATTAAAAAATAAAAACTAAATTAAAAACTAATTTAATTAATAATATCAATTTAATAGGCAATAAAATAAATAATAATCATTATTTAGTAACTACTAAGTTTAAATGCAGATTATTTATAAAATTATATTCATTTACCCTATAAATTTAATAATAATATATAAAAAATATATAAAAAATTTTCATATTATTTTTTATTCTTTTACAAAAAAACAAAAATTAATTTTATATTTATATGTTTTTTCCAAAAAGAATTATAATAATTAATTTAAATAGCTAAATGTAGTCATATATTTTAAGGTAAACCAATTAAATAATTTAAATACATCATTAGCCATCATATTTTTAACGAAATAAAAACTGGAATTCTAAGCGTAATTTCTGATTATATTTTTATATAACTTGATACTTGATAATAATGATAAGACGATTTTTCACCAAAAAAAGAAAGGAATCTAAACAATAAACAAAAAATATCTTAAAGTAAACTCATTTTATAAAAAATAAATGATAAATTATATATTTAACAACAAACCATAATCAAAAATAGACTTTGAATATATAACTATTTACAAATAAGCTATTAAATTAAATAAAAAAAATAATATAATTTAAAAATCAAATATTTTCTTCAGTATATATTTATGCTTAATAGTTTTTATTTTTATACTTCTTTTTTCAAAATATTAAAACATTTTATTTAAAATCGAATACAAAATTTTAATAGCATATACTATTTTATTATTTTTTACATTTTAAATATTACTAAAATTAAGCCCTGGAATTTTATAACTAGAACTACTGATAATAATATATAGTATTTTATCAGGATAATAATTTATATTAATTCAAAATTTTTTTTTAGATTAATCAAAATAAAAAAGCCTTTTGAACAGATTAACGAAAAATTTAAAATTTGACATTATTTTCCCACAGGCTGTGCTCTATTTAAATTATTTACTGTATTTTATTTATCGCATTGTTTTGGATGTAAATTTCATTATTTGGGCATATAAGAATAGAATAAAAGAAACAAAAGCTGGCTGAAATAATTCTTTAGATTATAAATGAGAAAATCAGTATATTAATTCTTTATATTTCGCTGTTTTTTCTTAAGTTACTTATAAATAATACAAAAAAAAATATTTGCAATAATTATGAACAACATATGTTGCTGTGTTTTTAGTTATGCAATAAATATGATAAATACTATTTTTCAATAATAGGTCTAATAAGAGGCTTGTTTTAAATCCGAGAAAAAAAACATATCATGCTATTTGGGAAAAATAAAAATCGTTATAGGTTTATAAATGAAAATTATAAAATATCTTAAACATATGAATATCTGTAAAAATTGTACTCCTTTAAATGGACTAAAAAATTTAGATAAAGTTTTAATAAACGTAAAACTAGAGGTTTTAGAGGTATTTTTCTTTTAATATATTTTACTTAAATAGAAAATTTTCTGCTTAAATTTTTCTAAATAAATGCTTATTTTTATTAGCCTTAATAAATGGCAGGAGTCTATTTATGCTTCTGGAGAAATTATGTATTTTTAAGGGGAGTTTAATTAGAGAATTATCTTTTTATAAAAAGAGGAGAAACATTATTATTTTATTAATGATTTTCTTTTAAATACTAATATTAAATCATGATTAAATCTTGAAAATCTAATAATAATTTATATAAACATTAAAAACAATCATATACATATAGTTTTCATATTTACATAAATATAAATTAAATATTTATTAAAATTTTTTAACAAAAAATAATATGATATGCTATTAGTTAGTATACTAACAACAAGTGATTTTCGAAGTATATTAAAAAGGCAATAATTATAAATTTTATATTTTAGTATAAACAGGAGGCATTTTCTAAGCTAAAAATTAGAAGTAAATTATAAATATAACCGTTTTTGATTTAAAAAAATTAATCTATATATAAAAATTTTAGTTATTTTAAGTTGAATGAAAAATGTATATTGCGGCACATAAAATATATTATACTATAAATGCTGACTGACCAAATATAATTATTACGAACAATTTATTAACATAATATTTAACTGACTTTATATATTAATTTCGTATTATTTAACATTAATTTATTATATTCTAATAAATTTTATGAGTATTTTAATCTATTAATAAAAATTTCTATTTATAATAGAATTAACATATTTTTTGTTTTGTTTTAAATTATAAAATTTAATAATTTATTTAACCTTTTATAATTTGATAGAATAATTTATTCATTAACAGTTTTATTTCAAATAAACTTATTTAATCTATTTAAAATTAAATAAGCAAATTATTTTATTAAAACAATTTAGTTATTTTTATAGAAATATTTATTTAAAATAATAAAAAAAAGAAAATATTAATATTCCTAATAATAAAAATACAATTAACATAAATAATACAAAATATAAAGAAACAAGGAAAAAAAAAAAAAGTATTTATATGTAAATAAATATATATATAAAAGTTTTAATTTTATTTATAATGAAATGAGTTTATTAAAATAATCAAAGATTTTCTTTAGATTAACTTTTTTTAGTAACAGAATTAATTGCAAGTCTACTCGAGCTTTTTCTCCTAAGCATCGAAGATAATGACTAATCCATATTTTTTACTTCCATTTCTTCTTCTCTTAACAATTTAATTTAATTAAATAGTACATTAGGTAATAATTTAATAAAAATTCCCACAATCAAAGAACCAGAACCTATAGCAGCACATAATAAATGCTAGTAAATATTCAATTAAGTTACTCCTACATATTACCCCCCTAACTCAATAAGGAAATACTAAACGCAAAAAGTAATAATAATAATAAGCCAAAAAAGTCCATTATTAAATAACCCTTTGAATATATTAATTTCATCCCTTTATAATTTCCTAGCATTAAATTCATTAAAAACTTGCATCAAAACAAATATTTGGAAAAAAAGCGTAAAATGGACAGCTTATTTTTCATCATATTTAACCATATCGAAACTTGAAGGAATTTATAACCATTTCGGGGCTTTAAATAATACTAAAGAAAGAATAACTATTTGATATATTGATTATCCAAATATATTCCTCCACATATTGGCAGTTACTATAGAATCATCTCTAGCGTATGGCTTTCTATCCAGTAAAGATTCCGAAGGAGGTTCAGTTGAAAGTGCTAAAGATGCAAAAGTATCCATTATAATATTAACCCTTTAAATTATATATTTTTTTAAATTGTATGATATATTATAAATATATATATATAATATATATATATATATATATATATATATATATATATATATATATATTTATATACATATAATAAATATATTTTACCATAACATTTCTATTGAATTTAAAGGACTTTTTTTTAATACCACAGATCCAAGAAAAGACATAAAAAGAGCCACAGCATTTACTGTAAGCTAAAATTAAATAAACTTTCTTATAGAATCATAAATATTTCTCCCATATTTGCAAGCAGTTATAATACTTGCAAAATTATCATCTAATAAAATTATATCTGCAGCATCTTTGGACACTTCAGTTCCTGCTATTCCCATAGCAAATCCCACATCTGCTTTTTTTAATGCCGGTGCATCATTAGTTCCATCTCCTGTAACTGCGACAACATGACCCAATTAAATAAGCCCTGTTACAAGTATATATTTATCTTCTGGACTACTTCTTGCTAAAACTTTAAGTTCCTTAGCAACTGCTTTAAACATGTCTAAATTCGCAACTTTGGAAGCTCCTTTTTCTTCTGGCGTTTTTCCATCAGGATTATCATATACGATTCCTCCGACTATTTCTCGAAATTTTTTACCTTCTAAAATCTCAAAACCACTATTAAAAGATGAGCTATTATTATTTGCATTCATTTATGAAGTTTTAGCATTATCTTCGATTATCCCAGCATCTTTAGCTATTGATACTGCCGTATTTACCTATTTATTTAAATATGTATTTAAATACTTATATATATTTTTTTCATACATTATCTCCTGTACACATTCTAACCGTAATTCCTGCTTTTTTACATTTCTAAACAGCAGCATATATTTCGGGCCTCAAAGGGTCTTTTATACCTGCTATAGCAACCAAAACAAGATCTTCTTCTAGATAATCAGTTTATAGATCATTATACATATTTGTAAAGGGAATATCCTTATAAGCCAAAGCCAAAGTCCTCAAAGACTTATCCGCATATCTTTAAATAATATCTCTTTTAATACTTTCTCTTTTTCCGCTTTCTATACTTTTAATTTATTCTGCTGTGAGAACTTTTTTGCATTTTTCCAAAATTACCTCACTAGCTCCTTTTACTAAAACTCGAATTGTTTATTCATCTAATTTGATTAAAGTAGTCATTTTTTTCCTAGAAGATGAAAAAGGTAAAATTCTTAAAATATTAGCACTTTTTCTTTCCTTAATATAATTTGCTTGGAATGTATCAGCAAGTTCTATTAACGCACATTCAGTTTTATTTCCAATTTGGCTGAATTTCGGTCCTCCTTCTGATTAACTACCCGCATTTTTATTTTTAGTTGGATTTGCTGAAGAATTCAAACAAGCATTTTAATTGAAAACTTTTTGGATTTTTTCGTCTATGTATTTCGGGATAATATGCTCTGGATTATAATGCTTATCGTTTATATATATATGGTATACACTCATAACATTTTATGTCAAAGTTCCAGTTTTATCAGAACATATAGTAGTTGCTCCTCCCATAATTTCACAACTCGCTAATTATTTTACAAGGTTATTCTCGTCTTTCATTTTATTTACGCTATAAGCTAATGCTATTGTCACTGCTAAAGGCAATCCTTCAGGAACTGCTACAACTATAATCGTTACAGCTATCATGAACGACTTTATCACTTCTTTTAATGTATCAATACACATAAAACAACGGTTTCCTCTATATGTATCAATTCCTAAATTTACTAATAAAGCTAGCATTGTTAAACCTGCTGCTATTGTACCTACTTCACCTATATTTTGTATATTGTTTTTATTTTTTATTAAACGAAAAATAAAATACCTATTTATTCAGCAATACTTTCTAATTTTTATTACAAAGGAGTAGGAGGTGATTCTTCTTATAGTTTTTCCCTTAACTGACCTAGTTGAGTATTTTTTCCAACTGCCAAAATTAACATTTTTCCACTTCCATCCATAACTTTAGACCCACTGACCATAAATGGCTACTATTTACCGCCTTATTCCACTTTTTAAACAGCAATTTTCGGAATTAAATCAGATTCTCCAGTTACACTAGATTCATCCATATAAATTTCACTCCCCTCTACCAAAATACCATCAACGGGGATAAGATCTCCTATTTAAATAGAAAGTAGATCTCCAACAACTAGTTCTTTGACATCTATGTAAAAAATATTTCCTTCTCGGGTCACATGAACACTCATTTCTTCCCTTTTAGCGCTTAATTTTTAAAATTATTATTCTTTTACATAATTATTACCGGCACTGACAGATACTATAATGACTATTGCGATTAAAATAGTAGCTCCTTCAATCCATCCTTTAGCAAATCCTTCTTCTATAATACCAATTACTGTAGATATTATACTTGCAATAACCAAGATTTAAAGCATTAAGTCTTCAAAGCATTCAACTATCATCTAAAATAAAGTAGAACTTTCTCTCTCTGGAGGATCGTTTCGACCAAAATGATCTTATCGAATTTATATTGATTCAGAGGAATTTGAGCAACCTTTTTTGATGTCAGTTTTTAAAGATGAACATAGACTGGATAGGCCATTAAATTTAGAGTTTAGTATTTTTAAACTCTCGTGCTCACGGATACTGTCTGGTTCAAATAATTTAGATAAATCTGTTGCATTTATTTAAAATACAAAATCTTCGAGCACTTTTTTACTACTCATTTATTTTTATTTTAGTTTTTATTAATTTGTATGTATTTTATTTATTTATATTTTAGAAAAGTATAAATATTTAAAATAATTAAGTTGTTAATGCTATTTTATTTTTGAAAAAAAAAAAAAAAAATAAATAAATAATGTATTAGTATAAAAATTTAATTTTTTATATTTTTTTTAAAGAAAAAAGTAAAACTTAAAAAAATTAAAAAATAATAAATTAATTTGATATTTTTTTAATAAATATACAATTTTATTGCCAAATAAAAATTAAAAAAATATAATTTATAATAATTTTAATCATATATTTTTAATATATAATTATAAATTAATTTATATTAAATATTAATGACAGAAATAAATTAATCCTTACTTTCATTAAATAACTTAATAGAAACTGATTTTTTAATAGTATAATAATTAAATAATTTCAGGTACTATCCAAATCCAATATTATCTTCATTAGAATCTCAGCTTTAGTTTTGTCTTTAGAATTAAATAAACTAAATAGAATTTTCAGATATTAAAAAGTAAACATAAATTGATTCTTAAGAATAAATTTAAAATTTAATAAATTATTTAAATTAATTAAAGGATTAAACATTTAATGCTTTGACATTTGATTCGTAAAAAAACACTGAATTCATTGAAAATAATAAGTAAAATTTAATAAATGAAATTTAATTTGATACATAAAGTTAAAATTATATATATTACAAAATAAATTCAATAAATTTAAAAAATTTTGACTAAATAATAATGCTTTTAATAGTTGAAGAATTTAATTTTAAAAATTAAATAAATAAATTTTCGAAAAATGTTTTAATTAAATAATTTTAATAAGTTTAATAATAATAATTAGGAATTTTTGATGATTAGTATAATTTAATTAATATATTTGCAAATGAAAAAAATTCTTAGGAGTAAATATTTGACATTTTTATTATTTTTAAATAAGATGAAGATAATTAAACCATAAAAAAATCAATTGATTATAATAATAATTCATAATCATAAAATAAGAATAAAAATAGGCTATATTAATCTTTAATTCCGTTAAAATATATACAAAAAATATATAGAACTACTTAAATACCAAAAATTAGTATATAAATATTAATACAAAAAATGGATTAAAATAATGATGATAAAATAACAGTTGATGATATAAAGAATTTCGCTTCTAAAAATAATTTTTAATTTAATGAAAATGTAAAATTATATAAATAAAATATATATAATAAATATAATATTTATGTATATATATATATATATATATTTATATATATATAATATATATTTTATCATCTTTTTTTATATAAAATATTTAATATTTTTATAGATTTATTATGATATGTTTGATGATGCAGCAAAATCTAGAAAAATTAATTTTAAAAAATAATTATTAGAGCCTTTAAATTTAAATGAAATATGGATGGCAGGTATTTTTTAAAATATAAAAATATAAAAATTATTAGTTTCCAATTCATTTTTTTTTAAATAAAAGTTTAATTACATTATAAATTAAACAAAGATCATTAATGGATTGAAAATCCTAAACCATTTAGGAAATATTGGATAACTTTATTATAAAAAGCTGGGGAAAATCTTCCTAAAAAACATGATTTAGAGAAAATAAAATTTTAGCCTATATATGATTTATATTAAAAATAAAAACTTATACAAACATTTCATCCTCAAATATCTATTTAAAATTAATCTGTAAATAAAATATTAATAATAAAATATATAATATTATTTTAGTTTTTAGTAAACGAATCTTTTAAAAAGTCTTATATTAGTAAGCCTAAGCCTGAAGCAGGCTTAGAAATTAAAGATACAAATAACATTTCATAAATTAATTTTAGTTAAACAGCAGATTTTACTATTTAAAAAAAGCCAGTTGAAGATTTTGAAAAAATAGTGAATTTAAAATTTAAATAATAAGAGAATAATTAATTTTCATAAACAGTAGATTTTGATACTAAAAATTATTATTAAGAAGCTTTAAGGCTATCATTAAATCCTATATTATATAAAAAGTCTTCCAAAAATCCTATTTTGTTATATGTACCTGAAAACTTTAATTTTTAGAGCATATAAAATAAAGAAGAGGAATATAATCATAGGACTTCTGAAATTTTTAAAAAATCTAATTTTTAGTATAACAATAAAAGTATTTAAAAAGATAGAAAAACTATGTGTTTGAATTAATTTGATAAATTAAAAACAATGAAAAATAATCCTTATCCGTTTAACGTTTTTGATAAAGATTTTTATTCTAGAAAATACCAAATAAATAAAATTGGAAATAAAGAAGAAAAAATACTTGAAAGTAATCATTTTATTACCACATTTAAACTAGAAAATTGCACATCTTTAAAATCAAAGCTTGCTTAATCGTCTAATTTATAATCAAATCCTTATAAACCTATATCAAATAATATTATAAGAGAGGAAATTAATGATGATAAATCTAAACCTAATTTTAAAGTTTTTGATATTTTCTTTTTATAAATTTTTTATTTTTATTTAATAGATTTAATTTAAATGTGATCCTTTACCTAATAAATATGGGATGTCTGAACATGATAGTAGACCTAAATTAGCTATAGAAAAAGAATAAAAAATATAAAAATAAAAAATGGAAGAAGAACAAAAAAATATAAATGATTATTACGGAAAAAAATAAAATAATGAATGGATTAAATATTTTAAATTATGTGATAAATAACATAATATTGGTGATGGAAAATAAACTGAATTTATAAATAAAGGGGGTATTTATTATGAACCTCTTTAAATTTAATAGAGTTTACTTAGATAAGAAGATGATTTTAAAATTCCTTTCAGATTAGCACATAGAACATTAAGAGCGAAAGATAAAAATATGTTTTTGGGATAAATTTAAGATTCTAAATTTTGAATTAATTATTGTTTATTTATTATTATTATTTTTTTTTAATGATTATTATTTTATTTAATTAAATAAAGATTTATAAATAAATAATAAAATTAATTTATTTTTATAAATTTATAATATTTATTTTTTATATTATTACTATATTTTAAATAAAATGAAACCTTATATTTTTAATGATTATTAAAATAAGCTTAATTTAAATAATATAAATAATTAGAAATACACTTAATAAACTGCATATGCAATAATAGATTTAAATCCAAACAAATTAAATTTAAGTGAAATAAGAAATTCCTATATTCAAAGAGGAAAGCATAATAGTGAATACTTAAGTCCTTCGAGTAGAACAACCTAAAATAAATAAAACTAAAATCTAAATAAGAAATCGATATCTTTTAGTGAATATACATCACCTTTTAGCAGCAGTAATTAATTAACAAAAGCTTTAGTATAATAATAAGATTTAGAAAATTAATAATTAAAAATATAATTAGAAGAAATAAAATAAAAAAACATGAAAATAATTAGTTAAAATTTAAATCTCAAAGACTAAATTGAGAAAATAAAAAACTAAATTAGACATATTAAAAGTATAAATAATTGTTATAAAAAACAAAGTTCTAAAAGTATCAAAAATTATGGTAATTATTTTATTAATAATAAATTAATAAACAATAAATGTGAATTTTATAAATGATAAATAATTTCTTTAATAATTATATGATAATTTTTAAATAAATAATATAAAAAAATGATATTTTTTTAAAAAATATTCATTAAAAACATTTTTAATATACAAAAATTAAAATAAAATCATTTATTTTTATTAAAATATAAGTAGTGTATATAAAATTTATTATTAGAATAAAAGATTAAAAAAAATAAAAAAAATATTTAAAAGAATATTTAATTTGTAATAAAAAAATATTAAATACAAAAATATAATTTATATATATTTATATATATTTTACCATAATTTTTAATTGTATTATATAAAATAAAAATTAATATTCTTTTAAATTTATATTTTTATTAATTAAATTTATTTAAATAATTTATAATTTTAAACTTTTATTCTTAGTATGAAAATATTTGTACTAAATTTACTTAATAAATCAATAAAAATATCAATAAATTACATTGGAAACATTATATAAGAAATATACAAAAATAAAAAAAATTATTACGAAAAAAACTATTAAAATAACAACAAAGATAATTAGAATAATATTAATATCTTTTTGGATAATCAAATAGAGAAAAATAAATTATTTAACAATTTATTAATCAATCAGGCAATGATCTGATACTAACATATATTGCCGAAAATAATAAAATAACTTTTCCTTAAACAATTATATTATTTTGATTTTATTAAAATAAATGTGAATAAAAAAATAAAAAACTAAAAATTATAATAATGAATATTGAGAAGATAATATGTTCATAATATTAAATTTTTATTAAATTATTAAAGTAATAAAAAAAAAATAATCTAATAAAATCTAATAAAATAAAAGGAAAAAAAAGAAAAGAAAAGGGATTTAATATAATAATTAGCATAATTTATTAATTTACTTTCAAAAAGAATCAGAAAATCATATAAAAAGATAAAAAAAATAATAATAAATAAATATGTATTACTATAAATCTTTCTAAAGATAAAAAAATAAAATTATTTCATCATTTATTAATTTATAACAAAAAAAAAAAAAAATATATATATAATAATTTTGATTGCAATTAAAATTATATAAAAATTTCTTTATGAAAAAAAATTTTTTTAAATAAAAAAATATATATAAATATAAATATAAATATAAATATAAATATAAATAAATTTTAATGTTTAATAATATAAATATTTATGTAATATAACTAGTATAAAATAATTTTATAAAAAAATATATATATATATATTTATTTGAAATTT